ATAGATAAAATCTCCATAAATATGTTGCTTTTATAAATCTTCATGTTTGCTGGTTCAATAAAACGATTGAACCAAACCCTACTCAACCAGTCAGAAAAATTCTACTTCACAACGGTGTATGATGATGTATGAGGCTGTCTGAAAATAGGGTACCCCACTTTTATCACCATTTAGCTATTCTTGGGGTGTTTACCCCATGTAAAGACACACCCAAATGTCGTATATTGTTGCTTTGTTGCCCATCGTTGGTTAGTTATTGGGATACCCTACTGTTTTCACGTTTGCGATCTGGAAAACCCACCATAGAATCATTTTCCGAAATGGAAACCACGGGCTTTTCATGGGGTTTCCACATCTTTTTGTATGTTTACCTTAGGGTAAACACTAGTATCCCCAGCCGGTCATGCCAATTCCACGGCCTGCTTCTCCTCTTCCCTCGGCACTGGTGCTAAGGCAGCCTGCAGGACAACACCATTTTATATCATATAGATTCATATAGGGCCTCCAAAAAGGACAAGTGCTTCTAAAATGTTTTCTGGGCGGGTGATGTTTCCTGCCAAAAAAAACGGCTTTCCAACTTGTTTAGCTTTGGGCTAAATTGGAAAAAAGCTGGGGGACCGTTTCCGTGACTTCACGATTTATCTGAGCCCCCATTCAAGATGTGAATATGGCATCGCTTTTTTTCCCGGTGGCTATGAGATGTTTAGTAACTAGGGGTCAAGTGCCCTACCAGCTCAATCTGGGGTCAAACTAAGGAGAGACGAAGTAACATAAGCATACATAGCAACATAAACATTGTAATAAATGTATATAGATACTTCAATGGTTTACATATGTAAACAAAAACTCAGTTTCAAGCCTTAACTCACCCCCCTGCCTCTTGGGGAATTGCCAAGGTACCGGCAATCCGCTGCATGTTGGGAAGCATCCTCAGCGAGGGTCATGGCTGCCGATGCCCTTTTGGAGGCCCCACCCAGCTCTCAATTTGTGCCGGGCAATAAGGGTGTGGCACAGATTTACCAGCAGCATCATTTGAATTTGAACCATTTTGATAGGTACATCTGGGAATGAAGGTGGGGAGCGGGAACTTTGCCAAACCTTCAAATAATAAGATCCTGAAAGATTAATGGCCAGTCGGGCACTCAGCGGTGATGCATGGATAATTTGATGAGAGCCTACCTCGATTTACATTTTGCAGACTTCCTGCTATCTGCTATAACGCCATTTGGACATAGGCGTTCGCCGGTTTGCTCATCTTGCAGGGAAGGGTTGGCAACGGTGGTGAGCTGTAACCCATTTTTGCATGCAGGTTTGAGGCATTCCTCGATCAGGAACCACGATTCCAAAAATCTTCATGGGCTGAATTCACGACCGTGAACCACCCATAATCTACCCCAAAAATTCCTGCGGGCAACTCTGATACCAAGGGATTCTAGGGCCCTAGCGACTAGCTGCAGGGATGATCATCCCAAATCACCAAATCCGTTGCTTCATTGTATCCCCCACTTTTGATGGCCATAATTGATCTACCCTCTGGTAAACGTTTACATAACTATGGAAAATCACCATGCTATCAATGGGTAAATCCACTATTTCTATGGTCATTTTTCAATAGCTATGTTAAATTACCAGAGGGTAAATCCCATTAATATCCCATTGAATCACTATAAAATCCCATTAAATCACTATAAATATCTATAAATCCCATTCAAATACCATTAATATGAGGCTATAATTCATTGACCCAGGCTTCACGACCCAGGCATCTCCATCGACCCAGCGTCGGCTTCATGGGGCCACCGAACATCGACGCTGGGTCTCTTTGGCCACCTCAAAAAAAATCAAAATTCGGGCTGTGGCCGAGGGATATTCATGGTTAATCATGGCTGACTGACAATGATATGGTAATACATGTACTCCTGACTATAACTTACTTACTACAAACTTTTTACTACATTGGAATGGCTAATAATGGCTGTTGATGGTTAATTCTTGCTATAATTCCTATATATTCCTATTGATGAATGCTACAATGGTTACTATAACGGCAAGGTGAGGCCCCAAAACTTGCGAAACCCATTGTCAGTTAACCTTTGTTGTGGCAGCGACATCTAGCTATCTCGCTATTGAACTACCTATCTATCTCTATCTATCTCTATCTATCTCTATCAATCTATTTATCTATCCATCCATCCATCCATCCATGCATGACAAGTCTCAACCAATGTTTCCAAATGTGGTTGGCGGTGTCAGTTTCAACCCCATACCCAAACGATTCTTCAATTCGTCGTTACGAATCATGATTCCAGGTAAGGATGAAAACAACTATCTATCTGTCTATCTGTCTAGCTGTCTACCTGTCTATCTATCTATCTATCCATCTATCTATCTATCTATCTCTATCTATCTATCTTACCTAATCTAGTCTAGTCTATAGTAATCGATCTGTCTACCTATCTATATAGAACACAACTAATCAAACCAATATATATATATATATATAGATAGATGATATAAACCACCACAGGCAAGAAAATTGAGTGTTTATCATGCGGGATCCAACCAGCCAAGCCCCAGAGGTGCCCCTCCCAAATGATCTGGTTCATAAGCCCTTAGTGGCTTTTCATGGTTAAACAATGTTAATAAGCCCTTCATAAATACAATGCCCATGATTTCAGTGAGGTCACTATAACTTACGGAGGGTAACCTTTGAGGCACCTCAGCGGCAGGGCAGCAACTGTTCTCACATCTTTTTGGTTTTGAGATCTGCAAACGCAGCGGTGTTCCAAGGACTTTGTTGGTTGATGGCCTCTGAAAAATGCACAAGTTGTATACATGGATGTATATACGCAAACATGAATACATGCATATGTATATATATATATACATGTATAGTATATTTTGTTTGAATCGTCATCCCAGGTAGGACAATATCTGCAACAAAAACCACACTGGGTACGCTTCCAGCTACGCGTCGCTCCGAAGCGGCTGGGACGACCTGGTTCCCTGCGGGATGATTGGGATGACACGTGCCTGTGCAATATTCGACATGGATACATTAAGATACCTCAAATCTAAAAACAAAAACTGTCTCCCTCCAGTACCAACCTTTTTCCAACTATATATATATAATCATATAGTCATATAATCATATATATCATATATATATATCATATATATCATATATATCATATATATCATATATATCATATATATCATATATCAAACTACGTGCATCCATTGAAAATCCCAGCTTCAAAGGGATCATCCTCAGCAACGGGCTGGGTCACGGTCCAGGCTGCCTTTGCGCTTTTTTGATGCGATGCTGAAGGAGAGCACAGGCTGGCATTTGCCAGTGAGCATCCAGAGATGAGTTGAAGCCAAGAACGGAGGCAACAAAAAAGCGGGGGGTCTGCAACCAGAACCCCAAAAGAGCGCCTGCAGTTTGGTGACGAAAATTTGCTGAAGATCAACGTCTTGATACATCTTGATACTAGTATTTGCCATATACGTATATTTGGAAACCCCATTCGACGTTTTTGGACACACCCATGTCTCCTGAAACATCTTCGACAAGATTGGCACAAAGAAAAAGCAACACCATGTCACCATGTCTGGATCCTTGACTTTCCGGCCACCAATTCCACCAGATTCGTTCGCAGATTCCATCATTGGCCTGCGCCAAATCCATGTCGCGGTCGGATTTCTCCGGCAAAACTCGGGGCATCCACTTGGACCAGTCCACATTTTCCAACCGAAAAAAAACGTGGGAAAATCATGAAAATTCATCCCATTGAAATATGGGGTGTACCCAAAATATCTTGTCACTTCGGGAACTGTGGCTTGGCTTATTGGAGCTTTAATCATGTTGAGATATGTTGAGATCATACTGATGAAGAGTTGCGTCTATATGAATTTTCGATGCGTGAGCTTCAATGAGTTGGGAATTGGCTTCTAGAGCCTTACAGCAAGTACCGAAGGTAAGATTGTAAACTTAGCAATCATGTGGCCAATTTAGCTTCACAATTGGGGCCAACCTCTGACGTTCATGTGTCTATTTTTGTTGGGGGTGAAGCTTTAAAATACCAGTGCATTTCTCAGCCATCTGGACCCGCGCATCCCACTGCTGGGAGAAGATAAAACATGCTCAAGTCTGCATCAATGCTGGTTCCATCCCAAATTTATACCGAAAACGAATCTTCCTCAAGCCTCCACTCATCCAAGTAGATACCCATCATGCAAGGCCAGATGTGATCAGGACATCCAGTGTGCGTCATCTGGGGTGCCTGTTTTTTGTTGCTTGTAAAGAGGGACTAAGGCGACAAGGGGAAGCTTCAATGCCTCCAAGTCCGCAGAGTGTTGATGATTTCTGGCTTTCTAGAAGGAAGAAAACGAAACACAAAAAGAGTTTAAAAAAACGGTAATGATCAATAATTATCACATAATTAACCACCTTTCTGCCCATCCCTGTTCCACTTCCTGTATTTTGTTTAAGCAAATGTAAGCAGCAACCCATGAGCACCATGAGGGCCCGCTATGGCTGCCCTCAAAACAGGAAGCGCTCCTCGCGTTCGAGGACCTGGAAGGGGGATTCCAGGCGAAGATCATATCTGACCACTGGAGCAGGCGTGTGCAAAGATCACCTTTCTCCATCACGTATCATATCACACACAAACACAAACAAACACACACACACACACATATATATATATAAATAATTATATATAAATGGTTGCAAACACCGTGGGATTCACGGAGATTGGGCCTTTTCAAACTAAGATGGCCAGGCAGCGGTTGACTGTTGAACTGAGTTACCTGTGAGGATATGACCATGGGCTACGAGATTAAACTTGCCATGTGCATACACTGTGGGGCCCCCTTAAAAGGGAAACTCGGTTGCAAACTACGTTACCTATGGTTTATGGTAAGTTTAAGCTATAGTTAGGTGGATTTAAAAACCAACATCATTGGCACCGGATAGAAGCAAGAAAGGAACTGAACATACTGCCAACTGCACTTCCAAATCTTTTAACTTAGGTGATGTTCTGTTTAAAAAATGCGGGTTCTTTCTCAAAAAAATGCTTTCCAGAGTTCACCAGAGGATACCCTCTGGCTATTTAACATAGCCATGGAAAATCACCATTTTTAATAGGTAAACCATCTATAAATGGGCCATCGATACCATGGCTATGTTAAATAACCAGAGGATAACCAAAGGGTAACCAACGGCCAACCCCCGTGCGCACCCAGCATTGTCGGTAGTGCCGTCGGGTCACCTCAGGGATGGTCCCTATCATATGGAAATTCCATGAAAAGCCCAATCTAAAATGGATGATGACTAGGCGTAGCCCTATTTGGGAAACCACCGAATGAACCATGGTAGCTTGCTACATGGATGCATGAATCTGTGTGAATCCATCCGACCATACGGATATGCGACCTAAGTTTTGATCAAATCTTCATGTGTGTTTGGTTTTCTGATCAGAACTTTCTCTGTTAACGGAAGGTAGGTCGATGACAATTTGCTCATCATCATCATCATCATCATCATCAGCAGCAGCAGCAGCGTTCCAGGATATGTAAGCAATATTTCCTGTCACATTAGTCCACGTTTCCATGTACCCAACTCTAATCACCAAAAGCACGAGCTCAATCGCTGTCAGCATCTATAAACTTTAAAGTATATCAGTTTCTTTTGACCTATAGTAAGTAATGGTAATGACTAGGTAAGTACATGAACACAAGCATGTTGCTCTAGAACAATGACCTATAACATTGCGTACATATACCATCACAAAAGCGAGTATCAATCAGTATCAACACAAACACATATTTGGATTAATTTTTTGGATGTCAAAGCATTTACATTCTATGTTTTCGGTTTTACAAATCATAGGTTAGAACAAGTTATTTTTCAAGTTACAACTTTTAGCTTATCAGATTTACCATCAATTACCATCAATTACCATCAATTACCAACATCTCTCCAACACCAGACCCCAGTCCCTCGCGTCCCTCGCGACTCGGCGACCCAGTCACACTCACCGAGCGCGACCGCGGAGGAGAGCCTGGGACCTCGGTGTTTTAAGGGCGGTCAGACGGTGAGTTGGATAATTCATCCGATTTTAACGTTAACATTAACATCCTGATATGTTATTATAGTCATTTTACAGTTATTATGATTAATTACTATAGTCTGTATATATACTTGATAATACTATATATAATTATCTGGGTGGTGGTTGACCTACCCCTCTGAAAAAATCTGCTCGTCAGTTGGGATGATGACATTCCCAATATATGGAAAAATAAACAATGTTCCAAACCGACCACCAACCAGGTTAGCTCATATGTATAATTTCATAACATCTAGATATATAGATTCATCCATGGGATTTATATATTCATTAGTTACCTCAGGAAAAACATCCTCATGCTACAAATCATACCATCCTCATACTATAATATACATTAACATACTTAATATGTATCTGTATGTTACTGAGACTGAGTTGTCATTCATCTTGAGTGGAGTTGATGTGCAACAGTGGACAGAGCAGTCAATTTCCATCCAGATATGTTTGGCATTTATCCAGTCAAAGTACTTGAAGTATCTTGAAGTCACGTGTTCCCCTGGGCTAAACAGTTCCCGGATGCTAAACCAGGTTTTGGAAAGTTCAACGGTCACTAGTTGCCTCGATTCGAAGCAGGATGCACTGGATGCACCTGTGCTACTCTTGATTTCATGACATTTCATCTCAACATATGCAAAGATCCAAACATATTGGGGTTTCCCAAAATGGGATGATATGTTTGGAATTGGAATAGACAACCAGTATTCTACATTTCCCATTTTTGTAGATGTTGTCTATTGTGTTACCTTCAAAATTCCAAGTTTCAATAGACAACCAGTCTACTTTCTTTAGGTTTTATTTTTTGCGTTTTAGGAACCCCCACATGCCCTGCATATGCCCCGTAGCCTTGGTAACAGCTATTGACATCGGCTCTGAGACCCCACACCACAGGCCAAACGGGACGTAAGGGTGAGAAGGCCTCAGTTGGATATAGTTGTTTAGACTTACTGGTGCTTAGTAGGGAATGGATGGGAATGGGGGCTGCTGGGATTATTATTGATAGTTATTGTGGATGATTCCCTCATTCCCTACTAAGCACAAGTAAGTAGATGCTAAGCATGATGGGATGCCATGATGGGAAGATCTTGGGGGACCATGAAGCAAAACGGCATGGTTTCTATATGGTTTCTATACGGCGAATTGATGACTGGGCAATGCCCAAACCGGGAAATGGGATCATCGACGTAGGTGGTTGAACCAAACTCCAGATGCAAAACAATTGGTAAAGGTAACTATACACCATACTGCGGGAAGGCCAATAACACAACAAACAAAAAACAGAAAAACACTTGGGAGTAGTCTCAAAATCCATCCAAAATATTGGGTATACCCGATAACAAACCAATTTTTGGGATGGGTTCGGGCATTGGATTTACAAGTTTTCCATATCAGTACATGTAAATGTATGTAAACACCATATAATCATATACTAATTTTCATATATAATTCTTGTACAAGTCCCATTTTGGTCATTCATGGGCATTCTGAGTAGATTAAGATATATTTATATTCACCAATATATGATATATATATATATAATATTTATATATAGAGTTATCCCATATATGATTTCCCATTTGCTATGCCCATAGCACCAATTTGGGATGCTTCCCCCAATGCCCATCCCAGGGACGCGCCGCTCCTCCGGAGAGGCGCGGCCATCCGACACAAAACGCGAGACCTGTGGTCTCGAAAACATGGTGTTTTTTTATGGTTTATCCACTAGAAATGGAGGTTTTATATGGTTTTATATGGGAAAATCATGGGAATATTAGTGGGAGATATACCCTCTGGTTATGACATTCACAGTTCGCCATGGTTTTTCGATGGCCCATAGAAATAGATGGTTTACCTGGGTTTACCTGGGTTTACCTGGGTTTACCTGGGTTTACCTGGGTTTACCTGGGTTTACCTATTAACATGGTGATTTTCCATGGCTATGTTAGTCATAAGCAGATGGTTTTTTTTAGTTCATTGGATTGATGTAAGGGAAAATCGGAAACCATGGTTTTTACCATGAAATATGGGGGGGTAAACGTACAATTTCCTTTAAAATGAATGATGGATTTAAGCAACAAATATGAAACGTATTGAAAAATGTGATGATCATTGGGCTTATCATTGGATTTGTGTGCTCTGTGGATATGCAATGTCACAAACTTAATATGATTTGCGTGTGTCTCCAAAGTAGGCATTCCTTTTGGAAGTGCAGGCTAGAACCATGAGAGAACCATGATAGTCAGCCATCGAAGTTAATGGGTACTCAATGTTCAAAGACCCATTTATAATGGGGACGAGTTCCACGTGATAGAATGGAGTATCATGTGTTTAAATAAAATCAGGTACCCTCTGGTGAACTAACATAGCAATGGAAAATGGCTATTTATAGTGGATTTTCCCATTAAGAATGGTGATTTTCCATTGCTATGTTAGTTCACCAGAGGGTACATATAATATAAGTAGACGTGACTCACCTGTTCTTGACTAAGGAACCCTGTTCCAACAAACCAATCAAAATACCTTTCCTCACCACCCAAATAGTTGAGAAACAGGTCGTGATTCTAGCTAACAGCTAACAATAGGCATCCATCAAAAAATTATGTTTTGGCAGGTTCAGAAGTTTACATTATCTCCACCACTAACCTACCTTTCACCAAGGTGTACCCAGGGATGATCTCCCAACATATCTGCTGGGCCTGTGGTGGGCTGTGCAAGGTGATAGTGCAGGGAGTGCAAGGAGTGCAGGGGGTGCAGGGAGTGCATGGGGCCTCAGGGTCCAGCTCAAGATTCAACCCAAACAACAGATCAAAAATTTGGTTGCCAGACTCGCTGGCACAGGTCTTCCATTTGGAATCCACATTCAGTCGTCCACTTTGATCGATGTTGCAGGTCTTCTCGAATCGAAGATGTACAGGAAACCCAATATATCTGCTAGTCAAAGACCATGGGTTTCAGGAATGGGAAATCCCCCGTCAATATTAAAAAACAATATTCTAAAATGGATTTCCCATTCCTGAAACCCATGGTTTTAATATTGATATTACTACCATGGTTTTAATCAATATTCTACATTTAAAATGGGAGTAATCAAAAAATCATCGAACTGACTGCGTGACTTTCCATTGCCACCTGGAAATTCGCCCCACTCAGATGCCCCGCTGAAGGCAAAGCTGATGGAGCAGCCACAGAGCTGGCGGTCAAAATGGCCACGCAAAACCATGGCAATTCACAAACAAACGTCTGGCTGTAACCACGGATTTACATGGCATAATAAAAATTACAACATACTGCCTTTCATATATTTTCTCCATTGCCACCAAAGAGTTTATGTAATCATTGGTATGTATGTATGTATGTCTGTCTGTCTGTATGTATGTATGTATGTATGTATGTATCATTATATATATATATAGAAATTTAAAGATATAAATTCTACAGAATTGTATAGATATGCCCTCCGACAGTCCAACATGGCCATGCTACCGACCGCCTCACGATTGAAGGATCGACGAGTCTGAATTGCTTCAGGATGGGCGATCGCGGCGCAGGAGCCGGACCAGCCATAGGAGAGCCTGGTCAGGTGGACCTTTACGGCAGGTTGTTTGGTCAAACATGGTGAGCTTTTCATCCCCCAATGGTGGAGCTTTTGATGGGAAAAACATCTATAAAATGAGAAAATTTCCAGCACGCCATGTTTGGTTGATCTGGAAGGTATCACCAGGAGCTTTTCATAGATAGGATGATGCCTGAGTGGTGATTCCACATCATTAATTTAACCATGAAAATTTGGGATTTCCTAGGATATTCATGGGGATTGCATGGGATATGGCATTTGGTTGATCCCACACCATATCCTACAACAATACAAGGTGGGTTCCCCTCAAAGCTAAGTTGACTTGTAACTTGGTTAACTAGGGCCTTATGGAAGATATATATAACTATATATGTAAAACTCTGGAGAACAAAAATAGTTATTATTAGCGGTATTGTTATTACTATTGTTCATATTGTTATTTTTATTTAATTTAAAATTACGTATAATATATATATATATATATATATTATATGATCATACATAATAATATAGTTATGTATTTACATTTATTTATGCATAACTAATTATTACTATATAAAATATATAGAGTTCATGAGGTTTATAAACCAACTTATAACTTGCAGGCGCTTGCACCGGACCTGGCAGCCGAGACAGGTCCGACAGGTCTCTCTGCAGCAACCTGCCGCCAAGGGAAGCATAGATTGAGTTCTAGTAAAGAACCAATGAACCCACTAGATAGTTCTATGGCTAACTAGATAGTTCTATAGTTCTAGTAACTATAGTCAGCTTAACTAGAAGTAAAAAAATATGATAGAACCAATGCTACTGTATGGTTAGATAGTTCTTATAGATGATAGTTCATCTAAGTAATCTAACTATCCAGCTGACTATCATCCCACTAGATAGTTCTATAGTTAACCAACTCAAGATACTTAGATTCAAGGTACTTAGATCTATATACTTTTTCTCTCATTTAAAGATCAATAGCCATTTTTGGATCCAGAACATCCCAGCAGGTATGAACCAACAAGAATGATAACGATGTTAAAGGATGATAAAGGATCGGAATAATATGATGTAGCCAACAAACCGTGGGGACAGACCAAAAACCAATAGGACCTTTCTGTCTTTACGAACTGTTGACCAAAGCGGAAAATCCAACAGCTACAATACCCAGATGCTCCATGGTGCTGGTATTACCTACAAAACTGGGTGATTTTGAGGGTAAATGTTGATACCCTCTGGTAATTTAACGTAGCTATTGAAAATGGCCATAGAAATAGTGGATTTTCCATTAAAAAATGGTGATTTTCCATAGCTATGTTAAATTACCCGAGGGTAAGTATTCCATACGTCGTCCATATGAGATATGAAGGATGAAGTTTCCAGGAGTTCCCCAAGGACGTTCGACACGATGTGTTGCCTACAGTCTACAGCGGGCTTTCACCAATCTGGGCCAAGAAATGCCATCATTCGGAGTCGAAATCTCCAGTTCTCATAATGACTGGAATATCATCTGGTATTTTATGGTATTTGAATGGGATTTATAGTGATTTAATGGGATTTATAGTGATTTAATGGGATTTTATAGTGATTCAATGGGATATGAATGGGATTTACCATCTGGTAATTTATTACATAGCTATTGAAAATGGCCATAGAAATAGTGGATTTACCCATTAAAAATTGTGATTTTCCATAGTTATGGGACAGTTTACCAGAGGGCATCATATATATCATAATCCATAAGGGACTCCCCCCAAATATGAAACTGGTCATACAGGCAGGGGCCTCCAAATTAAAAGTTGACATCATCATTACACCATCTAACTATACATGTATCCAGCACAATTCCAATCGCTAGCCTAGTTCTGAACCGACTTACCCATCATATGCCCCATTTCGGGGATCACATGTCATGATAGATTCACATCCACTCCCGTAGCCATTACATCTACCATTTCTATCTGCCTGGTGGGTTCGCAATGTGCTTGTTTGGCTTGGGAACCTATCTCAACTTTCGGGTGGTTGTAAGCATGACTGATTCATATCCAATATATATATATATATACACATATATATATCATACTATATATATATATTCAAAAAAAGGTTCACATAATTTTCACATAATTCCGATAAATCCACCATTTCCATGTTAAACTAAGCATATTAGACGTTGGTCCGGTTGAACACTTGGTGAACAACTGCAGACCCCTATGGTCATATCATTGCTAGTGGGTCAACCACCCATAACATCATCATCCAAATATGCTTGAAAACAAAAACAAACCACGAACCAGCTAGGTACACCCTAGCTGAATGTGGGTGGGCCTACAACCAACCCCAAAAAAATCACATATGATATTTACAAAAAACTAAAGAGTTCACCTACTGATATAATAATGTGAAGCCACCATTACAGCCCATTACATCCCAGTATTAGCCCTATATATTCCTAGTTATAAAACCCTTTAAGATTCCCAAGATAGTTCCTATCAGGTTGGGGGACTCGGTTCCCAGCTCCCTTCCTCCGGATAGACTACCCCACCATCATTGCCAATCTTAGAGTCACCATGCAACAAACCAAATTCCTAGCATAGATCTAGAAACCAGATTTCTACCATTCTCCTACTGGATAGTCTACCAAATCTTAGTAGAAACCAATTTCTAGTAGATCTTGATTCTTAGAAACCTACTGGATGGGTAGTTTAACCCCTTAGTTTAACCCCTTTATCTTAGCTGGTTGGTAGATCTTCTACTAATCAAAAGATAAAGGTAAGTTAAACTATCCATCCACTTGGTCGACCCAGTAGCTCCCAAAAAATCAATCCAGTTGGTTAAATCACTATTTTTTTTACCAATGGTTCAAGCACTAGTTGGTTATAATCCCAATGAATCACTGCTGGCTAAAAAAATCACTAAACCCCATGTTTATATTTTTGCTGCTCGAATCATCAAAAAATCCCAATATATTCCGTATCCTATTCATAGCCATGAATTACCGGAATGGTCAATTAATACTGCCTATAGGCAATATCCCATTAAGATTCCCATGAGAATCCCGTAGGAGTGTGGCTTTCAACAATACACTACCCTCTGGTTATGACTAACATAGCCATGGTATAGATGGCCCATTTATAGATGGTTTACCTATTAAAAATGGTGATTTTCCATGGCTATGTTAAATAACCAAAGAGTAATAGCCATAAAATTCACCCGAGCATCCTAAAATCACTCGTTGGTCAACTCATTGATTTTTTCGTGACTAGGTGGCTAGTCTTTCTCATGATATTCACACATTGCTATGTTTAATGCTTAAATCACTGGTTGCTTACAATGATATTATCCAATTCATATCTCCATAGTAATGTTCATCATTACTAATCATCATGACATTCTGAGCATATGATTGGCTAGTTTCTTTTGGCTGCGTAATCCCTTGTATTCCCCCAAAAAAATGATAATTTATATCCCTTATATATCCCTTATAATTTATAGAAATGCAAAAAAAAATTGGCCCCCCACCTGCCGCGGCACGTCCTGGAGCCTTTGCCGCAGCAGCTGCATGCAGCGTTGCGTCTCCTCCACCAAGTCACGGTGGCTCAAGGGCGCCTCGACTGGTTTGGGTGGGAAAAACCTGGGATTTTTGGGGAAAAACTTGGCTGGTGGTTTGAACCCTACCCCTCTGAAAAATATGGAGTGAAAGTCAGTTGGGATGATGACATTCCCAATATATGGAAAACAATGTTCCAAACCACCAACCAGAACAGTTTCTCTTGGAAAACACACATGTTTTTTTGGGGCGAAAATGGTAGGATGCTAGGACACGAGGTGTTTTGTAATGTTTGGAAGGAAAAAAACAAGATTTGGGCGGAGAAAATGGGGATAGGCAAGTGCTAACTCAACAAACATGGTTGATGTGTGCAATGAACATATTAAGAAAATGAAGTGTTTCAGATGAGTTTTCCAAGGTTGAAGATTGAATAGACAAATGTGGAGATTGAAAGTGGTGGAAGCAGAGGTGCTTCTCTTCAGCCATGGGGATTTAGGTTGCAGAGATTCTGGGTCCGGAAGTTCATTTCAATCACCGTAAAGGCTTGGAATCAACAAAAACTAAGGTTTTGATCAACAAAGATTGGGCTTTAGGCTGTTTGAAAAGAGGTTCGCCAGGGTTTCGATTGAGGAGGTTCAAAGTTCGGAAAGGGATTGCTTGGTTTATACCTTCTCTAAATCTGCAATGTGTAGGGCTTAGGGATACAACCCAAGACTGAGAAAAAAAAGATCATCACAAAAATGGTTACAGTAGGTCAGCCACTGAGATCACTATCATTTCTGCTAAATTTACTAAATCACATCCAATCGCGTTTGGTACCCTCTGGTAATTTAACATAACTACGGAAAATCACCATTTATAGTGAGTTTTCCCATTAAAAATTGTGATTTTCCATAGCTATGTTAGTTTACCAGAGGGTAATTTCATATCTATCAAACTACAAAGGTTGGCCCAGCAGTTCCTCTGGAAGGCAGTTCCACGGAAAATTTTTCAGGATGGGCGTATGGCCACCTGTATGAGCACACGCACACAGATATATGTGTATATATGTGTATATGTGTAAATGATGTGTATATATAAATATGTCGATATATATATATGTATATGTATGTATATAAATATAAATATAAATATATATATATGTAAATATATATATTTATAGATTATGTAAGTATAATTATATATGTCGGCAAGAATATCCCAAACTTATGGTGGTAATCATGGTTCCACCGTGTTCTACCTATAGACATCACCTCGGGTTCGCCTCTTTGACCTTCTCCAGGCTTGCAGCAAGCCGCAGCACGTCCCAACCTGATATTTGAAACAAAGGCTGGCGGAAATAGGGCCTCAGTTTGCAATGATTCTTGGTTAAAAAAACTGAATACTAATTATATATATATATATAGAGTTATGTATTTAGTAATTAAATATCATAATATATATATAAATACATATTAAATCCATAATGAAGCGTGTGTGTATATATATATACATACATTATATAGCGCGTATTTGGATAGAATACTCATTAGTCATCATGGAATAGAATATCATAAATTACTTTTCAGAACAGGGACATGCCCCCCCCGCATCATAGACCTTTTATGATACTGGAGCTTTGTTCCAAAATGTTCCAAAAATCCATCTGTAAAGTAATTCTATACCTCTAAAAACATGGCAACTCATAAATCGTCCAGTTGCTCAATTTATGCTCCATCCTAACCCTAGCTGGCGCTGCTTGACCTCTCCCGTTGAAGACGGGAATCAAGCGTTTTGCACCCATGGCTTACGTAAGGCCTACCCCTGTGGTAACATCGCCACGTAGAATTCTCCACTTGTGGGTTTCCATAACTCTGGATACCCCAAAAAAACCCAAAATGGATGGTTTGTAAATAGAACATCACAATCTAAAATGGATGATACGATGGAACATCCTATTTATTTAATGGTTTATGAATGGAAAATCCCAATCTAAAATGGATGATTTGGGGGTACCCCCATGTAGGAAACCTTAATTTCTTCCTGACTTGCCTAGTCTTTTCATGGCCATCTTCCTTTGCAGCTGAGGGGCAAAGCCTCGGAAAAGCGGGTGTGGTGCAGCCAGGGTTGACTCGAACAATGGCTCAGGGGCTCAGGAAGGGGCAATAAATTGAACACACATTACCTCAAACAAAATACTCCACAAACCTGACTTCAGGATTTTTTAAACAAACTTAGAATCTTAGAGTAAACCATGCTGGCATGGTCTAAATTGGCATACCATTCTGGTCCACTTGGCCACTTTTGGGACTAATTATAGGCTTTAACTGGACCATAACCTCTAATCCATGAAGTAGTAGCCCCACCTTCAAACACTTGATAGATAGTGTGTCTTGCGATCAAAAATTCTGACTCTTCACCAGGTTGACTTAAGCTCCATTTTGTTTTACTCAATTCAAAGGTCAGCTTTGGCATCTTCCCATTGCCGTAAACCATGGATTTTCCCCCCCAAAAAAAAACATCCGTTGGGGCTGGGAAAATTGGCGTTGGATTTACCTCATCCTATGGGACCTAGCTGCTTAGCTGGATGATATTCTTGTTATAGCCACCTTCACAAGATCGTTGTCAGCCAATCGGACCCGAGACATCCGGGAAAAAAGTGCGATGGCCGCTTCGCTCACAGCGTTATCTTGTTGCAACGTATTCCACGTACAAATATAGAACCGATGTTTATATGTTAGAATTTAACAGCAAACATCATCATTATTTTCAAACTTAAAGCTTGCTGGTCAAAACCTCTGGATCAATTAATATGTCATAACGAAAATTTTATACAGTAATATGCCACAATTAATGCAAAATAAGGCATTTGATACCATTCAAAAAATCACATGAAAACACATCATTCATCCCCTTAAATGGAACAATTCATTCAGAGGTAACATCATCATTTCATATATCCCATATATTCCATATATTCCATATATATTCCCCATATATCCCATATAATATTCTCCATATATTCCCAACCACCATTTCCCTCGCATCCGTCGCAACCGCCGCACGCCAAGCGGCTGATGCAACTCTTCATTCTGCTGCTGTGCCTCCGCGACGGTGTCTTCCAAGGTCTGGGAGGTCGTGGACAACTCACCTTTCCGCACGGGAGAACCCTTGAAGGTAAGGAGATGAAGCTGAAAAAAAGGGTAAAAACACATGGAAACATAGAATGTATTTAGTACATGTATATATATATATATCGCAACCCGCCCACACGAAAAACATAAATGGATAGATAGATTAAACATAAATAAATAAATGTAATTAGATATGTATAAATAAATAAATAAACAAATACTTATATATATTGATATACAACAGTTGGAAACCTGCTGCTGAATTTGCGGAAAACATAATCCATACCATCCTGGAAACACTTTTCTATCTTTTTTTGGTTGCTACATGTTGATATGGGTTTGTGTATGTGAGAATTTCACCAATTGTATCCTTAGTGGTTTTAATTCATGATTCCAAATTTTTTCTGCACACATTAATTGAGGATCCACAAGAGCATGCGTCAACTGGTTGATACATGGGGATGATGTATGGCATTGTGACTCCCAGATTGCGTTAGGACTTCCGTATAGTAAAGTCAAATTTGCGGAGTTCCATGTCAGCACTCAGAAGGCCCCTTTAGGAGAAAATATCATTCAAAAAAGATACGTCCGAGTTTGTAATACGGACTTCCCTTTAGTCAACTTATTGGCAACTTCGCAAAAGGTGATGCCCTCAGGTCATCATCCCAGTGGGTAGCAACATCCAACTACAAACATCCAAAGAAAACGCTGGATTTTCCATTGCCAGATCAACGTTTCCAAAAGGGTTGCCTTTTGGATGGGTCAAATGAAGTTTTCACATTTATATCTAAAGAAAGCCCAAACAAACGATAGACACGTAAATTACCAATATGTGAGATTCTGTTACCCCCTGGTAAACTAACATAACTATGCCAATCGACAATTTTCTATCGAACTCTTTGGGGTCGAAAAGTCTCGCATTTTTCAAAACCCAAGCTTTACCTGGCCTTCGGGCACTGATGCCATGCTCATGCGGTCCGTCGTGAAGCGGAAAGTGGAAGTACCGAACGGATCCTGACAGAAGGGGCATCCCTTGTTCATATGAAACACCACCCCACAAAACCAGCTGGATGTAGGGAATATTGAGGGGAATGGGAGGATACCTTATAATATAGCTCATATATGGATGCATGCATGATCATGCATTTATGCATGTACAGTATGTAAAACCATATATGCCAAGCGTATATTATCAACCAATAATGATTCAGTAACCCGGAAATCGCGTGAAGCAATTGACTTCTTCAGCAAGAACTCTGTCGAAGTGTGATCTATGGTTTGGTAACATGGTTTAAGTTGGGGAAAATCCCACCACTTATGGCAACTAAAATGATTCTCCACCGGTAACCAAACACGGCTAGCTAGGAAATCCCCTATATATGGAGGTTTTATCTGGTTTTAATAGGGAAAAAACATACGCAAATTTCCATTGCCACATTTGATTGCCGGAGGGTAAGGTGCTGATCACACCAAAGAAAATTTCCACATGTTCCCCTGCCCCCCCTCCAATAAAAACATGGGGCACACAGAATAAAAACATGTTTCCCTGATTGGAGGCTACAATCCTCTCATCTATAGCCTAACAAACGCTTCCTTAATTCATGAACCGGAAATACGATGAAACAATCCAGGGTTTCATCAATTCTCGGCCTGGTACCGCCCTATTAGTCAAGCACCATTGAAATTGAAGTCGGCCAATTGCTATATATAATGCTAATATTAACCGCTAGAAATTAGGAATCCGTGCTAATATTGGGTTATATCATATCTGTTACCATGTGGTTATTTAACATAGCCATGGTATATCATATAGTTGATAGATGTATACATATAGATGCAAAAAAACAACAAGATCAGTTATATCAACACCTATATCAGTTATCAGTAATATCATCAATATCAACAATCAACTAAAACCTATCAACAATATCAGTTATATCAACAATATCAATATCAGTTTTCCAGATACCTAACCAGGTTATCTCAGTTATATCCATCCTTTTACCGTCCTTTTACCGTCCGAAATCAATCAGATGGCGCCTTCAACACGGGCCACGTGGCCGGATCCAAGGAGGCCAAATCCCAGGAATCGCTGTGAATTCCACGACCGCGTTTCGGCGTGTCATCACCATCCCCTGGCGGAATTTCCAATGGGAAACCCATGGGAAAAGCCATGGGAAAAGCTATATATGGAAGTGGCTAAAACCTCTATAACATGATCTTAAATGTTCAAACGAATGATTTCAAAGTTGCAGTTTTTGTTCGAATCCTTATTTTTTTTGTGTCAAGTTGTCAAGCGAACAGTCCTGAATTATGGAGCCTTGATTTGATTCCACGGCAACTGCAGGTTACTTCCAAAAGATTGAACATAGACAAGGAAAGTCAATAGTCTGTCGATTTCAAATTGAAACAATCCATCAATGTTGGATGTTCCATCATCTTTCTATTTGCCGCTCGATTGATCGATCACGATCTATCTATCTATCTATTTATCTGTCTATCTATCTATCTACCTATCTATCTATCTATCTATCTGTTCATCTATATTTGATTACTTTATCTGTCTAATCTAATCTAATCCAAATTAATCTAGCTAGCTAGCTAGCTATCTATCTATGTATGTATGCACATGCACTTAGATAATGAATATTTTCCAAATGAAAAACAGCCTGCACTTAGAATATCTAAATATGAATGATGTCGGTGTTCTCAGTGCACACTTAGAACATTGTTCATGGTTGTTTCGATACACTTAGAACAAGGCGCACAAATGATGCCATGTGTTTCAAGTGAGTTGCCGTGCATGGTATCCGGCAAACATTTATTCATACGCGTGTTGTTCCTGCCAGAAAATGCAAAACGTGCAGGTAACATTGAATTGTCATAGGTTCCTCAGTTCCTCACATGCATATGTGCATGCGTACATGTATACATATTCTTCCAAATGCAAGTTCATACATATATGTAGATATGTATATATACGCTTACAACATACAGACTGATCATGACATGACCCCTTTCTCAGTTTGATGTATTTTTAGCGCGGCGGACAATCGCTTAGAACATCTATATGCCCCCCCCGGTACGGATGTTCTAAGCGTATATGTTTGGATATTCTCAATGTTGGGTTCTAAGAACACAGTTTTAGCACATTATCCCTCGAAGTTTTTCAAGCAATATTGTCCAAGTCATGTTTTAACCACAAAGCCCACTGCAAATTTGAAACAAATCCAAACATTGCCACACTAAAAATCTTTCAACGCACCCAGATTCTTCCACTTGGAGGTTCCTAAAGTGGTGTCTATCCCCAAATCATCCATTTCAAGGGGATAGACACCACTCCTGTTCTGCTGCTCGATGCTTGCACGCTGGGCGAGGTTGTCAGAGTGTCGTCGCTTGGGGAAGGGGTCCTCCATCCAGCCAGGGATAGGGACAACTAATGATGGGTTGACATTATATTGTTGGTATATAGTATATATATAAAATATATAATATGTATACATCTACCAACTATAAGATATACCCTCTGGTAAACTAACAGTTTGCTATGGAAAATGACCATCTTTGATAGGTAAATCGACTATTTATATGGGCCATGTTCAATAGCTATGTAACAAATGACAAGAGGGTAATGATGGGACCCGACCCTAATAATACTGTGGATGGTTGCGACATCCTACACCAGTTGATAGGTGGTAAGCATCCCATTATTTTGTTGGGGTTTCAACCATCCTTTTGAACAGGATTTCGCTGGCCCATCCACAGTAGTTTATAAATTCCACCAACAGTAAGCTAACATAGACTAACATAGAATAACATTGACATGGAAAATCAGAAATATCCAGAACACCTAGACCAGAAAAAACCGAACGGGAAACGCATAGATAGATTTCCAGAAAGCCATGGAAATAACTCTTATTTTGGAGGGTAACCGCTAACCTTCTGATCAGCATATGCTGGACAACACATGTTACATCACATGTTGCGCCGGAAAGACTCGTTTCCTTTTGTTTTGGTAGGGCTGCTACAGCTGGATGCTCATCCCCAATAAGTATGAGAAATCATAGGTCGTGATTCATGCCTGTACGTCTAGTCTACAAATTTTAGACACTCCTTTTTTGGGCTGGTGGGTATACATCCCCATTTGTTGCAAAACAAATAAACATACTCATCAAGCTGTTCTCACATAGTTGCATATATGATAGATAGGTATATATATATTATACACGTGTACATATTTGTCTGAAATGGGGTGCCCCAAATTTGATGGTTAAAGGAATCACATTTTTCCTGTTTGAATGGCAATCAACTGAGGTTATCCCCTACTTTTTGGTACCACAACCGCTCGCACAAGGTGGTGCCTCATGCCTCGAATTAGTTCATGGGGGTACCAAGACACACAACTGGCACAGGTACCAGCTTGCAGGACCCGAAGAACAACTAGATCCGATTACATATACACATAAATAAATAAATAAATATATATTTATTTATATGTATATATGTATATATATATAATACATACACGCACACACACATAATTTCCAATGTATCACCATCGGTTTAATCCCCATGGTGGTGAAATTCCCCACGGGAACCACAAATGTCGCTGTCGCGTGCTGCGAACCGGCCAAGTCTCGACTCCGTCTGCGTCATGACATCGCTGGAGCTCCCTCCCGTGCTGCGTGAGCTCCTTCCAGTGCTGCGGCCGGAGCTATAGCTGCCCTGCGGCCGGGTCAGTGGGTAACCCCAGCTACGACTGGGCTTACCAAAGTTGGTTTTTGACTAATCTATAAGCTATCAAACAGCAAAACAGCAAAAGTAAAAACGTAATAATACTAATTAATACTATACAGTCTAACTTAAAGCTGTTATAGTTAAGTCGTCTACTACATCTAGTTACAAACATAAACGGCTAGCTTATAACTAGCCTAACTATAAAGCCCCTGTAATACGCTATACACCAGCTGCCTGGTGAAAACCCTTCACCAACGGGGGGCATCAATATGCTAGTCATCTATGGGGATTATACAATGGAAAATTCATGGAACATTCATGGTCAAATTATGGACAATTTATGGAAAATTCATAGGGAAATCATGGATAATTTTTAGAAAATGAATGTGCAATTTAAGGGAAATCTATGGAACAGGCATGGAACATGAATGGGATTTCATGGGGATTTCATGGAAAAATCACGGAAATTCATGGTAAAATCATGTGATTTGTGGTGATTATCATGCGGATTTCACCAACAAACATCGGGATTTTGCAGTGATAAGATTTACCATCCGTTATTTTTTCTAAATAGCGAACTGGAAGCCATTGCCCGTTTATACAGTTCCATGATAGATGAACATGATTTACCTAGCTATAAACGTATGGTTTTTCAAAGAATGAACCATTGCTCTATTCAGCAACCAGTCATTTCAGGCACAACCTGACCAAAAGCTGCACCTTCAACCTTGGGATAGTGACAGCTTTTGCCTTGGGACCTGGGGGACGGAGTCGGACGCTGCTAGTAGCTTCCTTTCATTTTGTGACGGGAAGGGGTTATATCTCATAGTTAATGGATGTATTTATATATATATGTGTGTGTAATATATGTATATATATATGTTACATACCAACACTATATTGTCAACCAATAATCTGGCTGAATAATACTTCACTAGTATGAAATTGGCTGGAAAAAGGCCATTCGGGGATGATTCCCCTACGAACAATCATTCCAGTGACGTCACAGTGAGGTCCCAAACGTTCACTGTTCAATGTAGCAACAAGTGATTAATCCCATGACCCTAATCTTAAACACCCCAATTGCACGGTCCCTGAAAATGTAAAAATTCCCACAAAAAAAGCTTTCGTTTAGGGGTTGTTTTGTTTTTCCATATTAGGGGGAAGGGATTAATTAATCGCCATTCCAATCATCCCACTGTATAATCATGAAAATAATATTATTATTAATCATTAGTAATCACTATTAATCAATATTGATTGTAAATGAATTAGCGCAAATCTGTGTCTCAAGGTATCATGTCCCACGCCATCATGATCAGCCTGGAGCCTGCATGTGACGACCACAGCCTGGGCCTTGTACCCTGAAAGAGATGCGACTGTCATTGGGGATCATCATCCCTAAAAACAAAAATGGTTTATGATTGAAACCACCAGATTCATCTCCAGTCTTATCATATCACTGATATAGCTGAATATCGCTCATTATCAATCATCACTGAGCCTATATATACCTCCAGGAAAATTCCTCCCATTTGCACCAAAATCACCAAACAAGTCTGGCTTCCATGCTGCTTTTTCTACTCGCCCCAATTTGGCAACTTGGCAGCTGGGTTCCACCAAACCTCCGGTAATCTGTATAACACTATTGAACATCAACTATATTATATAATTGTAGTTGCTAGTAAATCATCATTAAATCATCTATAAATATGACATGTGTGCCATCAATACCATAGTCATTTTGAATTACCAGATCCTTTTTGTTGCTTCATATTGCACCAGCCACTCCTCCAGGCTCCTTGCGGGACCCCCGACTGGGACGAGCCGACATCACTTAAATGGCCCAAATTCAAAAACATGTGCAGTTGATGAAGTGCCACGAAAATTGCAATGTTTTGTAGTACTTGATTATACTTTACTATTCTTCACATTCAACTTCACCTGCGAAGTTAAGCTGAATTTTGGAGACATTTGCACACACACACACAGGCACACCACACTGAACAGTTCGCAAAGTCTTCACTGTAAGCCCTCCAAATTCCGATGCAACTCTCGTGGTCTCATTGAAATCCAATAGATGACATATGGATAATTTTTTTTAAGGGCAACATAGGGCAATGTGCTATTGACACCATGGGCAAGAGAGAAGAGAGCCCCTCATGCTGCGGAAGACTTCCAGCGTTTTAGGGAAATACATGGCATTACCCATCCTAGAAAGATAAACATATAATGATAACAACCAAGTACTGACATGTAGGACTAACTGTAACCGGCTCCATCTCTCCCTCTCTCCCTCTCTCCTCGTCCCACACGGAAACTTTGATGTCGTGTTTTTATGATCTTAATGTAGCTGCTACAGCTTCTTTTCATCAGCAACTGATGTCACATGTATGCATGTCGAAACAAGGGCCCAACATTCAAGCAAAAGTCACGTGCCTTCATCTCAAAGGAATCAGATTCCGCCGTTGGAACTAGAGAATAACAACCCTTGGGTTCAGAAAAACATGGGAAACAACTGATTTTCTTGGGTTGTCTAGAGGCCATCACCTCGGGACTGTCCCGGTTTGCAAGTGGCTCGCAGCTACTCTTGGGGACCCACTTTTTGCAGTGTAAAAACCAGACAAGATGGCACCCCCGCAGTTGTAATTTTATTTAGAATCTCCATTACCCTCTGGTAATTTAACATAGCTATGGAAAATCACCATTTTTAATGGGAAAACTCACTATCTCTATGGCCATTTTCAATAGCAAACTCTTAGTTTACCAGAGGGTAAGTAGTTCGATATATCCACCATAAACCAAATTGCCTTCCCACCGTCCCCCGGCGCGTTTTTGTTTTCACGCCGGCCCTCGCCTCAAAGGCGCCAGACCGGCCGTGGGCGTCGGAGGGTGATTGGTCTTTTTAGTCGTTGCAAAACGACCCAAGCTTCGAGGGGGCGCCGTAGTTTTTTTTGCTGCACCCCATGGCGCATGACCACAGGGATCTGTCCTGTCCACAGGGATCTGCCCATTATTTAGTCAATTTTGAAATGTTAGTATTTGTAATATATATCTGTGCATGTGTATATATATATGATTAGATGTATATATATTTTTTTAAATATAATTATATATATATGGTTATATATATATATATCTACATAATTATGTAGGTATAGTCCTCACGGGGCTGACAGCCTTCCAGAACCCTGCGGTGCCCGCGGCGCCCATGGATGAAGTGAAACGGCCAAGAGTTGCATATATATATTTACATACTTTTACAGTAGGCTAACCTTAGATAGCCTGAACACAGATTTTCTTAGCTGGCTATGTGCACATATCATATGTATATTATGTATATTATGTATATCTATCTATCTATCCTATCTAATCTAATCTAATCTATTCTATTCTATCTATCTATATCTGTGCGTGTGTGAATGTACGCATTCAATATCTACAGCTTGGCATGCCATTTATGGCCACATATTCACCCAGCATAAAAAAACAATCTGGCATACATGGCAGATCCAACTGCATCCAGTTGCGCCGTTCATCTGTCTACTCAGTTGGGAAAACTCGATGAGATTTCTTCAAAACCTCCAGGGGTCTAGTGGCAGAGTTGGTGCTGATAGTTAACTTGGGGTCCATTCGGGGTTCATCTCATTTAGTAAGTGGTTTATGTTAATCCACATGCAGCTGGGGTATTCCCTTTGCATGTATATGTATATGATATATATTATATATATAATATTCGGTACATTATAAGGTTGGTTGTTTCAAACCTATCCCAAACATATTAGTCATCTCAACCAATCATCCCAAGTATGCTTGAAAAGCAATCAATATTTGAAACCACCAACCAATTTTGCTTATTGACCACTTCCGATAGACAAACCCAACACGTCCAAGCGTTGTGAGTCACGCAAAAATAAAGTGTCACAAACAATTCCATCTAGCCCCCATGATACCTTAAACAAGTGCATTAAAAAAAACATCCAAACAACATATCCAAGCAACATTTGGAACAAATAAACAATAAATAGCTTGAGTGGATCTTTACCGTAGTCCAATCATGGATGATTTCCCTAATTAATTATATATTTTAGCAAGTACCCTCTGGTAAACTAACATAGCTATTGAAAATGGCAATTTATAGTTGATTTTCCCATTAAAAATGGTGATTTTCCATAGCTATGTTTACCAGAGGGTAAACCTGGTGTCTTTCCATGGCGATGTTAACATTCCACTTCCATCCGAGACGGTCTACGTCCGGCCTCTGGGACGAATTCCTCAGATCCCCAAGGCAGCTCTTTGTGCCAATGCCTCGTGCGGCGCTGGAACGTCCTGGAGCTTTCAATGGGGATTCCTGAAATTCATCGAACTAAATGGTGGATCTGCTGTACAACATCGTTATATGATATATGATATTATGATTAATATTAACCATCATAATTAGAATATGTATATATATATATATCTATGTATCGATGCATGCATCCCTATGTAGAAAAATTGGAATCTTAACCGTCTTAACCATGCCCAAGTGCCAGATCTTTCAAGCACCAACACTCCAACTTTGCCCAGCCCCAAGAGCCTGAATCTCTCCCACCGCCTGAGGATCGATGAATGTGGTCCCAGAAAAAATGGGGACTTGAGATGGCTTCACTTAAGCAATACAAACCACACAAGATGAACATGTACCTCTGGTCACCTGAATGACCTTGGAAATTTGTCGTTTTTGTATCATAGCCTAATAGTACAATCAGTCGGGCCATCTCCTCAAACTTCCACTCTGAAGTTCTTGGTTTCACAATATAGCACTGAAAAAAAACACATACCCTCCGGTAATTTAACATAGCTATTGAAAATTGCCATTTGTAGTGGTTTACTCGTTAAAAATGGCAATTTTCAATAGCTATGTTAGTTTACCAGAGGGTAACAATCGTAAAATCAGGATGGGCCTGTCTGAAAATGTCGTGTAAGCCAAATGGCCATCATAAATGTTCGGAACATGATAAGAGAGAATCACTTTTTCGATGTGTTCAAGTATATACCCACAATCAAATCTGGTTGGTGGTTTTAACCAACTTCAAAAATATTAGTTAATGGGAAGGATGATCCCATATATTATGGAAAATAAAACATGTTTGAAACCACCAACCAGAAATAACCTAAAGTCAATGTATAACCCCATCCCCCTAATATTAACCACCCACATTCTATGGTCTCACAGCTCACATGTGTAAATCCTCTACCAAATCACGGTTTCTGGGGGATGCTTCATATGAACAGGGGAGAGGATCGTCCAGAATCTGAACCTGACGGTATCATAACATCTGGCACCCATGATTATACAAAAGAATGTGAACATAACTCGAATACCAATACCTCCAAAATATGATAAGGGTATTTTCTGTATTTTCCTCAAATAACAACATATTAATGCTAATCTGCTCTCGATAGAATACATTGCGCATTTTCATCATAACAACAAGACCTGGATCGCACTCCAATCCTAACAATGATGGATAGTTATGGATTAGTAAACAAATGCCAAAAAACACGATGGATTAGATGGACAGATGATCCGTGAATGATAACTATAGTTCATAGAGAAAAAAACTAGCTTAATAGTTGATGCCATCTACAATTATAGTGATTAGTACACAACTATTAGCCGATCAATAAATAGATAGCTATTAATCTTTAATCGATTCCACATAGTAAACCATTATATAATAGACAGCTTATAATCATTCATAGTTCATTACCGTAGTTGGATAGATCGTTAAAAAAAACACTATAGTTGAATCATTAAGCTGACTAAATTAGATCATGATTCGCCAACCTTACTGTAAGTACTAAGTAAGGTGATTTTGGATTTATATCATAGTGACTATTATATATAGTTATTATATAGTTACTATAGCTAATATTACCATTGGTTACTATAGTTGATTATTATAGTTGTTGAAAGCAATGACTATTCAAATCATTTAACTATCATGATGACTATGATACATATATATATACACCTACTGTTATATAGTTATTATATAGTTATTATGATTAATTACTATAGTCTGTACATATACTTGATAATACTATATATAATTATTTGGTTGGTGGTTTCAACCCCTCTGAAAAATATGAAGGTCAGTTGGGATGATGACATTCCTATATGGAAAAATAAAGTTCATGTTCCAAACCACCAATCAGATTTACCTATTAAAAAGTGGTGATTTTAGATGATTTACCTATTAAAAATGATGATTTACCTATTCAAAATAGTTCCTATATTTATACAGGATGGGGCCCCTCAGCTATAAGTTGGTTTATAGCCCCATCTAAATATAGTTACAAGTATCATACACTATTGTTATTATAGCTATAAACCAGCTTAGCTAACTGTAGGGCCCCATCCTGTATATATACACAGGTTCCAGGCTTCGGTGCCTTTCGTCCCAGCGCCGCGATGTCCGGGTCGCCCATCTTCATGGCATTGCCCACCTGGGACGGTTTTTTTTGCACTAAAGGTTATGGATTTTCATATGATTTGATATGTTTTCGGAATTTCATATGATTTGATATGTTTTTGGAATTTCATATGGTTTGATATGTTTTTTGGGATTTTCATATGATTTGATATGTTTTTGGGATTTTCATATGATTTGAAATGTGTTTTGGGATTTTCATATGATTCGGTATGTTTTTTTGGATTTTCATATGATTTGATATGTTTTTTTGGATCTTCATATGATTTATGTTTTCTTGGATTTTCATTTTTCATGTGATTTGATATATTTTTTTGGGCCTGATTTGATGTGTCATTTGATTTCATTTAATTTATGACTGTGTATGATGCAGGATATCTTTTCTCTATTTCACAGAAAGAAACTAGGAGGGCCTGGTGGTTACGGAAGAAATCTATATAATAGATCGTACATATTATATGTATGCGTATACTTATGACACAGAGGTTTTGTACCAAACATGGGTTTCCTTTCCGCAAAATGTAATGTTCCGTTGCCGGGTTAGATTATCAGACGGAAATACTGCCAATATTTGAAGGATATATTGTGTTATGTCTTTAGATTTGGGTAGGATCATTTAGTTTCTGAATTATGTTTAAATCTGATAGGTGGTTGAGCTACTTATTCCAAGAATCTCAGTCAATTTGGGAAGATAAGCGTGAGAAAGCTTTGATCCATTTCATATTCCATGCAGCGGAACAGTGGTCAAGATCAGCAATCAAGGGTATGTATACAGTATACGTGTATACATATACACATAGGCAACAGGTTGCACATAGGTGACCTATATATAGACCGACCGCATCGAACTACGTACTGTTTCAGCACTTCAAAAAGACAAGAAAAGACGACAACGACTATTCACAACCACCCCCAAAAGATGTGCATACACTGCCATATGATTTATTACGTAATATAATATGATTTATTACGTAATATAATATGATTTATTACATAATATAATGCAGCATAATTCATCATAACGTGAAAAATATGGGTAAATAAATCGTATATGATCGTATATGTCTGTATTTGGTGTAAAAAAAGTATGCGTCGGATACATGAACACGCCCCAGTTATCTCTTTGCTCCCCGGCATCCTTCCCCACTTTGCAGGTCTTCACGGCATCATAGGTCACTTTGCTCTCCTGTCGCCCCCAAGGATGGCCCCATGGCGACCCATGGGAGGGCCTTTTTCGCTAGCCGCTATGGATCCAGGTTTGGGTTCTGAACAAAGAAAAGCTGCGTCATATTCTTCAAAACGCCGTAAGACATTGTAACTGGTTGGTGGTTTCAACCCCTCTGAAAAATATGAGTTCGCCAGTTGGGATGATGAAATTTTTATGGAAAGTCATACAATTCCATGGTTCCAAACCACCAATCAGATAATTAACCACTGTTAGCCACTATTAATCACTATTAACTATGATTCACCATCATTAACCACCAACCAGCTGGCGAATGCTGGCGAAATCCCCCATTAATGGTCAATCTGTGGTTTGGTTTGGATTCCCGCCATACCCAGCCGCCGTCCTTGAACATCCCTAGCAAACTCTCAAGGATCTCGCTGACCTTCGGTTTATCACCTGGCGTTTCTAGGACACACAACGACAAAAAGGACCAGGATGCAGCTCCAATAACAATTGGGAGGATCCACAGGCCACAGGGATGTCAGCAAAACGCAATAAAATATCTATATCTATATCTATATCTATCTAATCTAATCTAACCTAACCCAACCTAACCCAACCTAACCCAACCTAACCTATCCATCTATCCATCTATCCATCTATCCATCTATCCATCTATCCATCTGTCTATCTATCTATCTATCTATCTATCTATCTAATATTTATATAACTCAATCATTGACTAATCTAAAAAATGAGATGATTTCACCAACAAAATGGGTCCCAGCGAAAAGACGGATTTAACCCCAGAAAAGAACGCTGATACGCCATCTGGTAAACAAAGAATGGCAATGGGAATTGCACATGTTTGATAGGAAAACTATGGAAGATTGAAGAGTAGAACAGTTTCCGCTGCAAGCTTACAGTAGCTTTCCGAACGAATCAGCTCCAAATCAGCTCCACACACAAGCACAGAACATTTCCATACCAGTTTGCTAAGTCACTAGCTTCAAAACTGCTCAGTCGTCACTCTGACATTTTTTTATCAACGTCCACAAACTTTTCTGGATTTCTCTGGTTTGATTTTTTGTGCAGTCAACATCTATTGGGTGGTGATTGAAATCCCATCGTTGTTTCAACAGTCCGATGCAAATTTGCAGCCCCCAATTTGGCACGCGCGGAAACCACTTCAACCAGCAAGCTGCCAAGCCAGGTTAGTGTCAACCCTGGCTGATGAATTTTCGGGGAAATCCATCCAAAATGCATTGGTTTATCACCCAGAAATCGTGGTTTATCAACATTTTCCCTGTGACACTTGCCACTTTCAGAAGGGCATACCGTTAAGCATACCCATATCACCATATCACCATATCCCATCTCATTCTACTAGTTGGTTGATCGGTTTCCCTAATATGGTAGGAATTTAATCCCCAACAACCAGGTAGTATAGCTCCTTCCTCTAACCAATCAACAGCTGGGTATTCTTCGGCCTGCCGTGACCGCCTGCTGCAAGTCTTTCTGAAGCTCCTGGAGACTTCTTACTGACCTAGCTATATTGGCGATGTATATGAGTGGTATATATATATATATATGTATATGTATGATTATGTATGTATGATTATGTATATATATATCCGCCGACCCTGCCTTAGCCAAGGCAGGGGCGGCGCCTGGGACCACCGCAGGTGTGGAACTTTTTTTCGTTCCCAATGCTTTGCACTTTCCACGAGCCCCCCAGGCCATAGAACCCTCTGTTCACCGCCCAGGAGCCACTCAGGCCACAGCAATTTCTGTGCACTTCCCACGAGCCACTCATGCCACAGCAATCTCTGTTTCTACGGCGTTCCAAAACGCAACAGGCCGCGGCAGACCTTTCCTGCAGCTCCAACAAGTCCCTGAGGCCCTGGCAGTGTCCTTTTAAGGAGGTTCAAGGCTGCTGTTTGCCAGCCCGCAAAACTCCCCAAACCCTCCCCTGCAGCTCCCAGGCGCCACTCAGGCCGCGGCAGACCTTTCCTGCAGCTCTAACAAGTCCCTGAGGCCCTGGCAGTGTCCTTTTAAAGACGTTCAAGGCTGCCGTTTTGCTCTCCCCTGCAGCTCCCAGGGCCACTCAGGCCGCGCAGACCTTTCCTTCCCCCCTCCCGCCTTTCCTGCAGCTCCGACAAGTCCCTGAGGCCCTGGCAGTGTCCTTTTAAGGACGTTCAAGGCTACCGTTTGCCAGCCCGCAAAACTCGCCAAACCCTCCCCTGCAGCTCCCAGGCGCCACTCAGGCCGCGGCAGACCTTTCCTGCAGCTCCAACAAGTCCCTGAGGCGGACGTTCAAGGCTGCCGTTTGCCAGCCCGCAAAACTCGCCAAACCCTCCCCTGCAGCTCCCAGGCGCCACTCAGGCCGCGGCAGACCTTTCCTGCAGCTCCAACAAGTCCCTGAGGCCCTGGCAGCGTCTTTTTATGGACTCAGCTGCCGTTGCCACCCCGCAAAACTCGCCAAACCCTCCCCTGCAGCTCCCAGGCGCCCCTCAGTGAGGTTCCGCGGACAAAGACCTTTCCTTTTCCTGCGCTTCCAACAAGTCCCTGAGGCCCTGGCAGTGTCCTTTTAAGGCCGTTCAAGGCTGCCGTTTGCCAGCCCGCAAAACTCGCCAAACCCTCCCCTGCAGCTCCCAGGCGCCACTCAGGCCGCGGCAGACCTTTCCTGCAGCTCCAACAAGTCCCTGAGGCCCTGGCAGTGTCCTTTTAAGGACGTTCAAGGTTGCCGTTTGCCAGCGCGCAAAACTCGCCAAACCCTCCCCTGCAGCTCCCAGGCGCCACTCAGGCCGCGGCAGACCTTTCCTGCAGCTCTAACAAGTCCCTGAGGCCGTGGCAGCGTCTTTTTATGGACGTTCAAGGCTGGGCTGCCGTTTGCCAGCCCGCAAACTCCCCAAACCCTCCCCTGCAGCTCCCAGGCGCCACTCAGGCCGCGGCAGACCTTTCCTGCAGCTCCAACAAGTCCCTGAGGCCCTGGCAGTGTCCTTTTAAGGACGTTCAAGGCTGCCGTTTGCCAGCCTTCAAAACTCGCCAAACCCTCCCCTGCAGCTCGTAGGCGCCACTCAGGCCGCGGCAGACCTTTCCTGCAGCTCCAACAAGTCCCTGAGGCCCTGGCAGCGTCTTTTTATGGACGTTCAAGGCTGCCGTTTGCCAGCCCGCAAAACTCCCCAAACCCTTCCCTGCAGCTCCCAGGCGCCACTCAGGCCGCGGCAGACCTTTCCTGCAGCTCCAACAAGTCCCTGAGGCCGTGGCAGCGTCTTTTTATGGACGTTCAAGGCTGCCGTTTGCCAGCCCTCAAAACTCCCCAACCCCTCCCCTGCAGCTCCCAGGCGCCACTCAGGCCGCGGCAGACCTTTCCTGCAGCTCCAACAAGTCCCTGAGGCCGTGGCAGTGTCCTTTTAAGGACGTTCAAGGCTGCTGCAAACCCTCCCCTGCAGCTTTCAGGCGCCACTCAGGCCGCGGCAGACCTTTCCTGCAGCTCCAACAAGTCCCTGAGGCCGTGGCAGTGTCCTTTTAAGGAGGTTCAAGGCTGCCGTTTGCCAGCCTTCAAAACTCCCCAAACCCTCTCCTGCAGCTCCCAGGCGCCACCCAGGCCGCGGCAGACCTTTCCTGCAGCTCCAACAAGTTCCTGAGGCCGTGGCAGCGTCTTTTTATGGACGTTCAAGGCTGCCGTTTGCCAGCCCTCAAAACTCCCCAAACCCTCCCTGCAGCTCCCAGGCGCCACTCAGGCCGCGGCAGACCTTTCCTGCAGCTCCAACAAGTCCCTGAGGCCGTGGCAGTGTCCTTTTAAGGAGGTTCAAGGCTGCCGTTTGCCAGCCTTCAAAACTCCTCAAACCCTCCCCTGCAGCTCCCAGGCGCCACTCAGGCCGCGGCAGACCTTTCCTGCAGCTCCAACAAGTTCCTGAGGCCGTGGCAGTGTCCTTTTACGGAGGTCCCAGGCTGCCGTTTGCCAGCCTTCAAAACTCGCCAAAGACAAACCCTCCCCTGCAGCTCCCAGGCGCCACTTAGGCCGCGGCAGACCTTTCCTGCAGCTCCAACAAGTCCCTGAGGCCCTGGCAGTGTCCTTTTAAGGAGATTCAAGGCTGCCGTTTGCCAGCCCTCAAAACTCCCCAAACCCTCCCCTGCAGCTCCCAGGCGCCACTCAGGCCGCGGCAGACCTTTCCTGCAGCTCCAACAAGTCCCTGAGGCCGTGGCAGCGTCTTTTTAAGGAGGTTCAAGGCTGCCGTTTGCCAGCCCGCAAAACTCCCCAAACCCTCCCCTGCAGCTCCCAGGCGCCACTCAGGCCGCGGCAGACCTTTCCTGCAGCTCCAACAAGTCCCTGAGGCCCTGGCAGTGTCCTTTTAAGGACGTTCAAGGCTGCCGTTTGCCAGCCCGCAAAACTCGCCAAACCCTCCCCTCCCAAACCCCCAGGTGCCAGCTCCCAGGCGGCAGCTCTTTCCTGCAGACCTTTCCTGCAGCTCCAACAAGTCCCTGAGGCCTGGCAGTGTCCTTTTAAGGACGTTCAAGGCTGCCGTTTGCCAGCCCGCAAAACTCGCCAAACCCTCCCCTGCAGCTCCCAGGCGCCACTCAGGCCGCGGCAGACCTTTCCTGCAGCTCCAACAAGTCCCTGAGGCCCTGGCAGTGTCCTTTTAAGGACGTTCAAGGCTGCCGTTTGCCAGCCCGCAAAACTCGCCAAACCCTCCCCTGCAGCTCCCAGGCGCCACTCAGGCCGCGGCAGACCTTTCCTGCAGCTCTAACAAGTCCCTGAGGCCGTGGCAGCGTCTTTTTATGGACGTTCAAGGCTGCCGTTTGCCAGCCCGCAAAACTCCCCAAACCCTCCCCTGCAGCTCCCAGGCGCCACTCAGGCCGCGGCAGACCTTTCCTGCGCGCAGCCCGGCGACCATCACAATTCTAAGCGCAAATGATCTCTCTCTCTCTCTCTCTCTCCCCAATAGGGGGGTCGGCGGCACCAGGGCGCTAGCCCATTCTATAATATGCATGGGGACTTAACCCATAGTAATAGATATTAGAATAAAATATTTCCAGTGTCCGATAGTTTCATTAAAAAAAACATCCGCTTCAAGCTACTCAGTCGGTGGGGGAATTCACACCAGGGAACGGATTTACCCTACTGAATTACCCGGGGATTTAACTTGCGATTCCTGGGGTGAGCAATATAGGGTAATATTATGTAATATTGTATAGCTAATTCCTGGTGCTCAAAATGCATTTAATTGTAATTACCAATATATCCAACAATTTCAAGTAACCATTTTTGAATATACCATATCGAACCGCTAATGTACTGAGGCAGAAGGCAGTTTGGAACAAACTGTGTTTTGGTGGGGGCAGGGGAGGTGGAATGTTTGGAACTGTAGCTGCCTGATGGATTGAATACAAGAAATGCTGTCAGCAGGGATCATGCCAGGATAGACCCATCTCAAAGAAGGCTGGGGATATTCCTTCACTAAGCATCATTTCGAGTGACGTCACACAAAAGACGATGACACCGGACGCACAGAAGTGGGACTGAACACAATGCCACAGGAGAATGGCCTTGCCATCAAACATGGGAGCTTCTATTTTCGAGGTCTTCTTCCACAAAGTTATTATAAATGTCAGTGTCGGTAAGGATAAATCAAATCTGATTCCTTGAGCCTCCAGGTATCTCCAGCTTCAGAGTAAGCATCAATGGATACAGTTTCATGACAGTTGCTGTAGTCGTGCATGAGGTCATAACTTCAGCATATAGAAACCTGTTACAAGGGAGCTTCTTCAGATGTGGAACCCCATAATGATATGTTTTAAGATGTAACGCGCATTATTCATATTATTCATATTATATAAATGTTCAGTGGTGTGCATTTTGATACGACTAGAAATGTGGAACAACCATGGCTACCTTAAAGAGATGAGGGCATGATCCTAGAATCCATAGCACATTGAGATACATGAGGTATACCACGTCCAAATTGACACGGCCAGTCTTAGAATGCCTACATACCCTACGTTTTCCTTCAGCTGATTTCTACATCTCTCTCTATCTTTTTATGTGTTATATATATATATATAAATATGAATACATATATATATATAAATATCAAAAGTTGCAAAGCAGGAACATCTGAAAGTAGCCTTTCATCGCGACTGACCTCCCAAAAATGCCCCAGTCAGGTTCCTGGGCTTCAGTTGCGACCCCAGTCCTCCACAGTACCAGCGCCCTGCTTCAATGACAAGTCATTCTCTAAGCGATTGATCCTGGCCCAGGGGTCCGATAGCGAAGCCGTTGGAATGTCCATGTCCATTGAAATCATTGAATGGTTGGCAACCAGTGGACCACCGATAAGAATGCCACCCCGGGTAAGACTTACATTGAAATATCCTATTTGAATAAGACATGGCAACGACCAGGAGCAATCGCCAACGAAGCCGCAAGGCATCGATCAGCTACAGTCATGATCTCAAAACTGACGATTCTGGGATCATCATCCCACATGACATGGCAATGCACACGACACTTACCGCAGCATCCATTGGTAACGCAGAACATCAAAAGCTTTTATCCATTCTCCATGCCGCTAGCAGTCGAGATTCAACATGTGGGTCACAGGTCAGCTCAGATATCACCGGTTTGTGGCTGCCTTTTTTGGAACCTTTCGCAAAAATCCATGGATTGTTTGGAGGGTAACCGTGAAAATTTACCAGCCACTGTGAACTGGGAATCGTGGAATCGTTGGTGAGTTCCTATATCCCATGATACAGTAATCTTTTGTTCCCATTATAGTTGTTGCGGGGTAAATGCCCGGCCCATTAATTAATTATATTATATACAAATAAATATATATATATATATAAATTGTAAATACTAATATATATATATATAATATTGCGGCCAGGCGCTGTATGTTGCCCGGAAGGTTCAAATGGCGTTTAAACATGTTTAAGCATTATCCTTCAACATGCTCAAACACCTGCGTAGGGCCGGTGTTTTGAGATTTCCCAGACGACGAACCCTAAACCCTAAAACCCTAAACCATCCTAAAATTTCCAAACCCTAAAATCCCAAACCCTAAAACCCTAAACCCTAAAACCTAGGTCTGAAAACTTTGAATCCTAAACTGGAAAACACTGCGTATACGCAGTATTTTCTGCAATTTCTCCTATCATATATTCGACAGCACGACATTCTCAATGTTCATGTCTGGGCAGCACACGGCGTCTGTGGGTAATACCAGTCGTACCGCACAAGGCGGTGGCGGAAGTTTCAAAAATAGGAAGCCTATAGGAGAGATTGGTTCGTGTGAATCACGGATGGCAAAGCGAATCCACTGATGGACCGAAAGGTGGTTGGAGCTGTGTTTTTTGGAGTGGCTGCAATGGTTGCAGTGGTCACCTGGTCGGTCACCTCACCCACAACTGCTGGATGTAGTGTGGTGTAGTGCAGCTGTAGTTGTAGTGTAGTGGAGTTGTAGTTGTGGTGTAGTGTAATTAGTGTAGTGTAGTTGCAGTTGCATTTGTGGTGGTGTAATGAGTGTAGCGTAACGTAATGTAATGTAATGCAATGTGGGGTAGGGTAGTGTAGTGTAGTGTATTTGAGTGTAGTGGAGTGTAGTGTGTTGTGTACTGTAGTGTAGTGTGGTGTAATGCAATTAGTGTAGTGTAGTGTAGTGTAGTGTGTTGTGCAATGTAGTGTAGTGTGGTGTAATGCAATTAGTGTAGTGTAGTTGTTGTAGTTGTAGTTGTAGTTGTAGTGTAGTGTACTTGAGCGTAGTGGAGTGTAGTGGAGTGTAATGTAATGTAACGTAGAGGAATGCAATGTAGCGTAGTTGTAGTGTAGCGTCGCGTAGTGTAGTGTAGTGGAGTGTAGTGTGGTGTAATATAGCGTAGTGAAGTGGAATGTAGTGTAGTGTAGTGTAATGTAGTGCAATTGAGTGTAGTGGAGTCTAGTGTAGTGTAATGTAGTGTAGTGGAATGTAGTGTAGTGTAGTGTAATTGAGCGTAATTGAGTGTAATTGAGTGTAGTGTAGTGGAGTGTAGTGGAGTGTAGTGTAATGCAGTGGACTGTAGTGAAGGTAAAACCGTCACGTTTTGCTCACTCTTGACAAGGTGCACAATCCTTTGCGCATGCCACGCGAAAGCACATCTGAACGTCCAAAAGTGCTCCGTGCCCCTCAGTTTTTTGCACTTTTGACTTCGAAATGTGCTTCGCGCCACAATGGCGTGCACTTTTTCGACATCTCAACTTGCAAAAAGGTGGTCCAAGACCGCCAATTTTTTTTTACACTTTTAACTTCCACATGTGCTGCGCACCACAACGGCGTGCACTTTTTCGACATCGCAACTTCTAAAAGTGGTCCGAACCTGGTGTGTTTTGTACATTTTGACTTCGAAATGTGCTTCGCGCCACAACGGCGTGCACTTTTTCGACATCGGAACTTCCAAAAGTGGTCCGGAGCTGGTGTGTTTTGTACATCTTGACTTCGAAATGTGCTTCGCGCCACAACGGCGTGCAATTTTTCATCTCTCATCTGGCCAGCTGGCTCCGCACCCGCCGCTTTAGCGAGCCTACTTTTCGACCCTCCGGAGCCACAAATCATTGGAAAAACGCAGTAGTGTTTCGCGACTTTCCTACCTTTTCGCGCATCTGCATCTTCTTTCTTCTGACTCTTTCTCTTCTCTGATCTGCTCTCTTCTACTCTTCTCTTCTCTCTGCCTCTTCCCATCTCTGCTTTTCATCTGTCCATAGTGTCGGAAGTTTGACTTCTAAATTTCCTTCGATTATGAAAAAAAATATATATATATGCCCATTCATTGTTGGTTAAATGCCCATTGGAAACCTCCACGTGACTCTTTTTTTTCATAGGCCTCCAGCACATGGCAGGTTTGTTGCGGACACACGGTCGAGACTCGTCGATGATCTGTATAGAGGATATGATGGGGAGAGAGATTACGGTACAATGTATCTGTACATGACATGTGTGCCTATAAATAAATGTGCACATATATTCTATATATTCTACATTAGATAGCTTACATATGGACTTGTCAAATATACACTTCAACCGTGGGTGTTTGATTAGAGAAGCCCCACGTCTCCTACGCAGGGTACTTCAGAGTGTGATATGCTGCCCAATCAAGTAACTTTATCTCTTCCTCTCGGTCCATATGTATATATTCATGTTCTTTTTCTTTATCTATCTATCAAAATCATTAAATCAATCAATCAATCAATCAAACAATCTATCCACCTAATGAATTATTTTATCTAAATTTATCTAAATCTATTTGTATAATCCTATCAAACCCTATAATTCTATCTAATTCTGCTGAATTACCTGATTCTCAGCTCCTGAGGCGTTACCCAATCCCAGATGATGCATGTTATGATGATGTGTTTTCGGTCTCTAAGGTCGGCCCTACTGGACCCAACTTGCCAAGGACCAAGGGGCCCACCGACACACCAAGGGGCTGTTGCCGCGACCGTTGTCCGTGACCGAATTGTCTTTTTTTTCGCCGTCCTAGTGGGCGTGTGCCACACTTTGGGCGCCGAGGAGAAGTCCTCGGCGAAATTTCAAACGACCCAGCTCGTTGCCTCTCGAAGTGGTCCATGGCCAAGCTAGAGACTAAGGGTTTCATGTTCTTTTGGCAAATCTTTCCCCAATAGTGAAAGAGGAAAATCTCAGCCTGGGACGCCCTCAAATTTGCCAAGTCTGGAACAGTACGATCTGGCAATGAAAACTAAAAGAAAATCAATGAACATCACAGTTTCAAGAAGTAAAACATCTACAAACGTGGAATTTTAGCCAGCCATCTTCGATTTCCACAGCAACAAGTCGCAAGAAATGATTGCCCAAATAAGTTGGAAAAACATAACGATGGGTTAGTATACCTAGAAAATACTTAATGATGTATCAATACGTCCGTCATAAATATAAAGGTTGCTTTACCCCAGTACATCGCAGCATTGCAACAAAGGGAACCAAAAACAGCTAGTCAAGTGGGCTGGAAGCTGCACATTGACTCGTAGGCAAAACTGGCACTTCCAAGTGCCAATCAAATATTAAAGACATGCTACACTACATGGAAGTTTCCTGAAATAGGGGGACCCCCAAATCATCCATGTTTATAGGATTTGTAGGATTTTGCATTATAAAGCAACCATTTTGGGGATCCCCCATTTATGGAAACCCCCACAGCTACACAAACTAACAAACTATGCCAACACCTGTACTCTGCATTCAACTATAATGTGCAATCTAGGCAAATGACCTTACCTTAAAATATATAGACATGGCTATCGATAAAACTCAATCAGCCAATCCAGAGGCATTGGGATTGCTGGTTTGCAGGTCAGCAGTTGCCATAGCCAGTCACGGTTTCAGCCTCATACCGCATTGTAAGTTAATAGCTCGAGTTGTTTGTTTGACCTCTCGTTCCCTGAAGATTCGTGTAGGATATCTGATTTACAACACCACCACACTTTGCAACAGATTTGTGTTGAAGGAAGGGCCCCCAACGGGTTGGGAATAAAGTGGGTTGCATGTCTTCAAGGGGTTCTGATTCCCAACAAGATATACATAAAGGCTTTATATCAGTGCTTCGTGCTGTGCACAAAGGATTCCATAATATCTAGTTAGGGATGGGTTCAGCGTTGTTTTTCGTTTTTACCTTGTTACTTTTTCGAGCACCCATTGCGAACAACTTAGCCTTTTCAATTGCAGCTAGCCTGCGTAGCCCCCTATTTCACAGGCATTGCCATTGATTATCAGCAACTACTCAGCTGCCTAGGTTGCCCAATATGGGTTTGTCTGAAAATAGTGTACCCCAAAATAGCAAGGTCGGTCATCGTTGCCCGGATTACGTAGATATATGGGAGTGTGTATATATGTATATATACTGTAAATCAATGATCATCAATGTTGGTGACACATGGGGATATGTATATATATATTATGTAAATAGATGTAAGGCATTGTGCAGCCTCTATTGAACCAGCCATTCTTGTCTATCGGCTATCCCCGTGTCGCCCATTTTAGACAGAGCCATGTCAATGGCGATGCGGTCATTGTTACTGTAACCTTCACAGGCCGGCAGGTATCACGCCGAATTTAGCTGGTGCACCGGTTTCAGGCCATTTGTAGGCTGTTGCTTGCAGTGGTGTCACTAAGAATGTGGCCAACCCAGGGTGACATCCATAGGAAAACATAAAAAAACATCCCAAATAAGGGCATAGCCAATAATAGACCTTTATTGGGGATGG